ATTTAACAAATAAATAAATAAATAAATAAATAAATAAATAAATAAATAAATAAATAAATAAATAAATAAATAAAACTAAAATCATGTGCTGACATGACAGCCAAAAACTTCCATAACTCCAGGAGGCTGGGAGAAGAACCGCACACGTAGCATCAGAGAGTGCATAATGCTAGATAGATCTATGAGACAGAAGCGGCAGAATATATAAGCTGAAATAATATGAACGTTACCTACATTTGAGATTTACTGGGAACACGTGACAGGTGAGGTGGGCGTGTCCAGGCTGATTGAAGGTTAAGCTGAGAGAGAGTGGTGATGATAAACCCAAGAAGAGCGAAAGAACAAAACCAAAAGTGAGACAAAAATCACAGGAATCACAACACATAAATAAGTCTAATGATAAAATGATAAAAAGACAAGTAAAAGTAACAAAAAGACAAACCCTGACAGTTTGATGTGAGCAGAGTGAGAACTTCTCTTTTTTCAGACATCAAAGGATTTTAGTTTTTTAAACTTTTCGATTGTTGACTATTTGACGTATTTCAGTAATATTGATAAATTAAACTCCTAAATTTTCTTTGCAGCACAATAATAAAAAGATGTGTATAAACCATATAGCACGACATCCTGAGCACACCCTGGTGGTTGGGCATGAAACGGACAAAGAATTTTTCAATTACCAGTACCTGGTAGTGACACACCAAGTTGTAATGTAACAGTGCTTTTTCAACAGGAGTACTAATCTAATACAAGGAGGAAAATGGAATAATTACCAGTAAAGAGTGTTTTTGCTAGAAGTACACATCACTATTTTGTACTTTGATTCTTGTAATCTGCTCAGACATCTTTAAAGACAAACATGCTGTTTATAAAACATTGTTTCTTCTTTTCTTGCCCTAGCACTTTAAGGTTTTGGTGGAGGACCTCAATGTTAAAGGAGAAGCAAAAATTAAGAATGGCTTAAAGGAGTCCTTCAAGATCCTGAATGAGGTTTGTGTTTTCAGGCCTGCATCATGTGTGAAAGAGTTTTGTTGGACAGCTTTGTGTTTGTCTGCAGGTGAGGGTGAAAGGTCAGGGCAGCATGTGTAACCAGGCCATCATGCTCATCACAGATGGCGCCATGGAGGACTTTGAGTCTGTCTTTGAGGAATTCAACTGGCCTGACCGCAGAGTAAGGACCAGCACAAAATAAACACATCAGTTATTTTTCCAATAAGCCAAGAAATCTGCCACTGCCTCAGTATCCACTCACTGTTAGTGTGCAGTACATTCAAATGTTTCAAACCTGTCATCAGTCTTTCACCTTTCATTTCCATTGTTTTCTGTGATGTAACTACTTACATAGAACAGTGGGTACCACATTACAATAAGGCTCCCCTTATAAATAGTTTGTACAAAAGTTATTTATTAATCTGTAAACACTTTATAAATAATTAATAAGGTTTTATCAAGCAATGATTAAGGACGCGAAAGAGACAAAACTGTCTAATTTCTTGCCAAATAGTGAGCCACATCTGTTCATGTACATATTACATCTAAAGTGCTATATTAAACATTTCAGACTAGGTTACTACCTTATAAGCACAATAATGTATTGGAAACATATTTTATTATTGTACTGTATTACTGCATTATACATATCCACAATAATCAAAGGTAGCCTTATCGTAAAGTGTAAGACAGTACACTATTTATAAATGACTAATAAACATATATACGTATACGTATATGTATATATACATATAC